CTAAAGTCAGCATTCATTAAAGCTTCATTTGAACTGTCTTCATCCGCTTGTATTTTGTCCTTATTGACCCTATAAGTTGGGCTGCTTTTGGCGTTGGCTTGGGCATCTAACCAGTCATTATTAGCTTTATATATTCTGCGCTTTTCATTGCCTTTTGCATGGCTGCGTCGTTATTTTTACTTTCTTGTGCTAAGTTTTCATACTGTACGGTTTGGTTTTGCAACTGTAAAAGTTTTTCTGCTTTACATTTGCTTCAACTTCTTTTTATACTCATCGCTATCCATATATGTCTTCAGGGCTTTTTGTTTTATCTCTTCATCTTCAGTACTTTATATTGAGTAGTATGGTTTTTCAAATTTTAACATCTTGTTCCATTTTTGCTACTTCTGCTGCTTTTCTGACACTTTTTTCGCATATTCCTCTGTACTTAGTTCTTTCAGTTGTTCTTCTTTCTTCTTTTTCTCTACGTTTAACTCATTGAGTTTCTTTGTGTGTCTGTCATATTCTAGTTTCTTTTCGTTTTCACTTATTTGCTTTCTGTATGTCTATGTTTGACTTTTTGACATCTGATATTTGATTTTGAGTGAACTCAAATTCATTTGACTTTGAGGGTTATAAGCTGTTCCGTCTGCAGCTCCACCATAGCCTGCCATTTTTGCTAAAAGTGCCGCTCTTAAACCTCCACTCTGTGCACCAAAAACTCGGTTTAAAAGCATAGGATTGCTTGACATTTGTTGCAACATAGTGGGGTCATTCAGCATTTGTTGTTGCAACTGTTGTTGTGGTGTCAGTTTTACTATTGGATGTTTCAATGCTCTCTTCCTCTTACGTATATTCTTACGTAGCTTACGTGGCATTTTAAGTGAAGTTAAAAAGCGGTTTTATACTAAACATCTTCGGGGCTAGAGGCGCAACGCGCCTGGAAGCCCCACTACCTTTTTTTTTTTTTTGTATGGGTTGGCGTCAAAAGACTGATAGCAGCAGGCGTTATGTAAAGTAAAGAAAAAAATATTTTTTATTTTATAAAAAATGCCCCCATATAGAATGGATAGAAAGTCTGCTAGAATAAAAGCAGAGTTACAAAGATATGGTTGGAGAGTTTCGAAGAATTTATAAATAGGAAAAGACCCATAAAAGTCTATGACAAATTGTCTGGTCTTCGCTACGAAATGGATTTGGAAACAGCACGTGCCAATTATCCAAACAGACTAGAGAGGTTAGAAGAAGAACGTCTTATGGACATGCCTTTCGATGTTAGTGAACCTCAAGTTGAAGGACACGACGGCTTTGCCAGATTCTACTGGAAACATGACGAACAATTGCATCCTTTGAGAAGGAAAAAAGGAAAAGGTGAAGACGCACATGCTCCCATGGAAAGAACAAGATATGCATATGAAAAGTATCGTGAAGTTAGAAGTCAATTTACATCTGGTCGAACCTTTACAGTAAACTTTGACGAAGGAAAGAACAAAGAAGGCTTCATGGGAGTACTTGCTGCAATTCAAGACGGAAATAAGAAAGGACACAATCTCAGATTGACCATAACAGATTTGGATGGTCACATTTACTATGCACATGGCAATGAACAAACAGCCGCAAAACTTCTTGACGCTTTCAAGACTACAAAGAGAGAACAAATGGTTGACTCCGACTCAGACATTTTGAATGCAATTGAAGGAATTGCAAGTGTCAAGTTCGAATGGTACCAACCTAACCCTCAGCAGTCAGACAACATGCTGGATACTTCCCGTTCATAAATAAGTCTGACATTGACTTGACAAGGTATGGAATTTACAATTCAATTGAAACAATTGTCAATGAACCTTGTATTCTTACATGTCTCAGGAACTCTGGTCTTGTTACAGATGAGAAGATGAAGTATCTGAGTCATGTGTGAAGACAAGGTACATTCTCAGAGGTCAATTGGCAAAAATTGCACCGTTGGCAAATGTCAATATCCGAGTCAACATACCTACAGCTAAAGGTTCTTCACATGACGACTATGTTGTTGACAAAGACTTACATGGTTGAAGATTGTAATTGTCCACAACCACTTCATGTTGAACGAAAAGTCTTACAAACCCATTCTTTGGTAAAAGTAAGTGCAACATTGTCAGAGCTGTAAACATTCTTTTCGAGAAAGGTTTGTTGGAACCAATTCCAGATGAACAAGCTGACAGAAACTTTTGTACCAAAAGACGAAACAAACTTTTCATTGTTAGCAAGACCAAAAGTTGTTCCAGACAAAGTTCTAGTACAAAAGAAGTACACAGTTCCACAAGGAGTTGGTATGTTCGGATACCAACCTGAACCAGAAGAACTTCCAATGAGGTTGCAAACTTCAAGATGCTATAAACAAACTTCCATTGAGACATCCAATTGACGTCAAATTGTATTGGAGAGCATCTGAGTTAGGTCAGAAGGTTTTATATGAAACAGGTTGCTTCGACGATGTTTATGAGATAACAGGAGAAGTTTCTCAGAAGATAAGAGACTCACTTGAATTTCACAAACTGGACCAATTGGTTGCGACAAGTTCGACTCAGATGAAAAGATATACTATGTCGACCTTAACGCTGCATACATGAGGTTTGTCCAATATATTCCGACTGGAATTCCAAACGAAGATGGTGAGTTCCCGGGAAGGACTATACAGTTGGAAAAGAGTCATACAACAACTGTATGATATTAGGAAAGCTTCAAACCCCAAACTTGCAATGACACTCAAATTGCTTATGAATTCGACATGGGGATATTCCATTAAGAAACCTCAAGAGATGAAGAGTAAACATTATGAAGAAGGTCGACAACTTTGTTGAAAGGTTTTCTCCTTTTGTTTTGAAGTACGAATTCACTCAAGGTCAAAGTGGCTTAGTAACCACATTAAAAACCTATTGTCCGAACATTGGTCTTACCCTCAGTTCGCAAAGGCAGTCCTTGACAACTACAACAAATTTTCTTCTCCGAAGTCAAATCCAAAGTCAAGGTTTACTATGAGAACATTGACGCACTCATGACGAACGAAGAAGGATACAACAAACTCATTGAAATGGGAATGGTCGGTGAAAAGATGGGCTGTTTTAAGCTAGATAAGGTATTTCCGAAGTTCATGTAATATCGAAAAGGAAATATTGGGGCATACTGAAGACGGCACAGAAATAAAACATTGCATGAAATAAAAAATTTATTTTAAAAAAAGTGACATTTTTTTTATTTTATTTGAAATGTACGCTGAGTTTGTTGGAGAAGACCGTTGGGAAACTTGTTTGTTAGATGAGAAATATGAAATGGCATACCATTTTAAAACAATATATTTTTACATATATTAAATGCTTCAGGTTGAAAAACAAAGAACAAAAGTAGCAGATACAAAACCGTTAGACTATATCTTTACAAATGCTGGTAGGACTATTTCAGATGAAGAAATTTCATCCCGAGAATACAGGTTTGACTATCCAATTCGTTGGCTTCAAAGTCCTTCAGATGCAAAGGCAATAGATTTAGAAGAGTTTTGTTTTCAAATAGAACTAACGCATTTATGTTCGCAGTATATTTTCATGGGCAGTATGAAGGTTCTGATGGTCTAATAGACAAATTTGACGAAATGAGAATCTTTACAGTTCGTTCAGACGAAAGTCTTGAGAAAACTCTAGATGACTTTCAAACTCAAATGAACAAATATTATTGGGAATTTCAAGAAAAAATACAACTCTTTACTAAATGGAACATACTATCTGAAACTAGAATATGACAAGATGAACTCCACCGTTTCATTTCAAAAGATTGAAATTAACCCTCCAAGAGATACAGAGTTTTTATTTTGGGAAGTAGACAACGTTCTTGGGCACAATTTCTTCGGTTACTACTAAACCAGAACGAACCATTACCACCAGATGGTCCATTTAAATTTATACTTCCACCAGCAGATTTGATGGTTTATAGAAACGTGTTTGACCTCAAAATGTTATGTGTCATGCAAGTTTCAGTTCAAGCAACAATAGTTTTCTATGTATTGGTAAGGACTTTTATGACTTTGCTTCTAAATTCTACGAACCATCTAGTAACAGTTTCTCTGACTTTCAGTTTGGTTCACAAAAATGGTGTGCAACATATTATTCCATTGTACTATGACTTTTATCTCGAATTGTCTTTCATATATAACTACGGAAAAGTGCTGAAAAAGTATTGAATGTGAAGATATTAAGAAAATAACATTTTTTCTAACATCGTAGAAAACTCATGAAAACAATTTATTTTTGACACTTTCACAAAAAACATAAAAAAGTGAGTTAAATGAGATGTTTACTGAACTGGTTGGATGTCGCCCTTCTGAGGTTATGTAGAACGGCTGACCGAGAATGGAACAGTGCTCTGAGAATTTGTATAATTCGTGGAATTGGACTCTCTCTGTTTGGAAGTTGTATCCATGGGCGCTTTGCAAAGAACTTGAGAAGAGCTTCTTTCTTCATCTCCTTTATGTCGTCTACAGGAGTGTTTTCTGGTATTTGAATTGGAATTCCGGTTTCAATTTCGATTTTCAGCGCACCTCTTCCAGACAACCAGAAGCCGAGGGACTTGTTGGCTTTGTCCTTGCCCAAGTACTGCTTAACAACTTCATTTATCTCTATAAGGTAAATTGCCTCATCTAATGGCTCGATGTTGTCCATTGTTCTGTTTCAGAACTAGTCTTGTACTTTTTCAGAACAATACTTGTACTGTTTCAGAACTAGTCTTGTACTTTTTCAGAACAATACTTGTACTGTTTCAGAACAAGACTTGAACTTTTTCAGAACAAGACTTGAACTTTTTCAGAACAAATTCCCCGTAAAAGCTCTCAATTTGTGAGAAAAATTTTCTGTTTCAGAACAATACTTGTACTTTTTCAGAACAATACTTGCACTTTTTCAGAACAATACTTGTACTGTTTCAGAACAATACTTGTACTTTTTCAGAACAAGACTTGCACTGCTTCAGAACAATATTTGTACTGTTTCAGAACAATGTCCGACGTCCCACCAACCGAGTCCATTCCCAAACCAGAGGAACCTAAAGAACCACAACAGTCTCCTCAGCAACCTCAGTTCCAGCAAGTACCTCCGAATTACTACCAATTTCCACCTCAAGGTTACTACCCACCACAAGGCTTCCCGAACTACCCTCCTCAGCCTATGCCTTACTGCCCCAACCCTTGGTTGTTCCAGCAAGCTCCACCCCAGCAATTCCAATCTCAGTCCAAGAGAGACCAAGACTTCGAAGAAGGTCTGAACCGCTTACGCAAAGAGTATGCTACAGCTCCAATTGAGAGAAAGTTGTTCCCGCACCAAAAATAATGTTTAGGTGAAGAGGTGAGATTTCACCTCTTTTTTCACCTGTTTTTTCACCCTCTTGAATTTTTCATGAATTTTATATATTAATGTTTTCGTTAAGCCACTTTGTGCCGTCAGTCAGTCAGTCAGTCAGTCAGTTTAGGAAAGACTTTAGAAAGTTGTTGGAAAATAAGTCCTGGGAGAGTATATAAGGCATTTTGTGAAGAATATTAGCAACAGTCCTGAATTCAGACGGTTGCTTTTTATACAAAATTCATGCAGGAAATTCTTGAGTTTTTGGTTGAAGAATACGGTGGAGCCAAAAGTGGCTCGACCCTTCAAAACAAGCATTTTATGAGCTTACAAAGGGTGTTATGAATGAATTCAAATGTATTTACATACATCCTGACCTCGTTCATTTTGTTGCTGAATTCAGCAAAAATATAATTTAGGTGAAGAGGTGAGATTTCACCTCTTTTTTCAACCTGTTTTTTCACCCTCATGAATTTTCATGAATTTCCTTAAGATAGAAAAAATAAAGTTAGTTTTATTTTTATTTATTTTTATTTTGTATAAAAGAACAGAAATGTCACACAGTCGCACAACAACAATTCAAAACACAGCACCCAAAACTCGTTAGTCATAGATCCAACATCTATGTAGTAGAAATGAAAAGCTTCATTCCTTCTTCATATACTTCGAAAACAGAAATCCAGAAGATAAAGCAGGAACTTTTAACAAGTAATTTAGACTGTAGTGCGAAAGATGAAACAAATGAACAGTATCTTTATGAAATGGAGGACCTCATCGACCATTTGCTTAAACTACCTGAAATCCAACAACAAAAGCTCACTATTCCTGAATTCGATGAAATTGAAGTCAAAGCAACTGACTCAGTAGAAATAAAGAAGTTCATACGAAAGGTAAATTATGAATTCCTTGGTTTTTCATTGCAACCATAAAGTTATGGACAAAGATTGCGACATGGTATATAAGAACATCTCTGACATATATAATCTGGGGAGTTTAAGACATACGACAACTTTGTTTCATTAGCTGCAAAATGTGTATGGCAGATAAGAGATAAAGATAGAAGAGGTAAGGTATGGCATGAACAGATAAAACCAGCTGCTTCAGATTTAAAGAAAACCATTGACGCCTTGGTTGTTTTAGCAGGTAAAGGTTTCAGAATATAACGCAAAAATGAACCCGCAATGTTCTAAATGTAAAGCAGCAATGAGGAAATATAACTACTCCGTCAAAGAGATAGAAAGAATGAGAAACGACTATGCAGATTTAAAGAAAGAAAGGCAGCAGAGAAGCCGGTAGAAAATAAAATGGACATGTTAGAATTTCTGAACAAAAACTATCCAACTGCTGACGATTTCCTTCTATCTGACGTCAAGAAGAAGATAAAGAAACCTTCGGCATTGTTAAAACATTCGATGTACTAAAAGAAGAAATAGAAGCTACAAAACTGTTTAGGATTTCAAATATACATCGTACAATTCATGTAAAACGCTTATAAAATATAACTGGGGTGAAAAATTAGGTGAGAAAACGGGTGAGATCTCACCTCTTCACCTAAAATATATTTTTATTGAATTCAGCAACAAAATTCTGAGTAAAATGGCATATGGCTTGTGTCAAACCGTTGAGTTTTCACAAAATTTAAAAAATAACGTTTACCATGTAAAACGTTTGTGAAAAAAGAGGTGAAAAATTAGGTGAAAAAACAGGTGAAATCTCACCTCTTCACCTAAAATATATTTTTATTGAAAAATGACCAAAAATCATGAATTTCCTCATATGCTTGCTTCCCTCGAAAACCGAGAGAAGAGATTCCGTATGAAAATCGCAAGAATTTGGCTCCTGGTTTGAAAGGATATTATGTACATAGACTTCTTGTAAATGCTGTTGCAATGTGGGCTTCACCTAAAATATATTTTTGCTGAAAAATGACCAAAATTCATGAATTTCCTCATATGCTTGCTTCCCTCGGAAAACCGAGAGAAGAGATTCCGTATGAAAATCGCAAGAATTTGGCTCCTGGTTTGAAAGGATATTATGTACATAGACTTCTTGTAAATGCTGTTGCAATGTGGGCTTCACCTAAAATATATTTTTATTGAATTCAGCACAAAAATCATGAATTTCCTTAAGATAGAAAAAATAAAGTTAGTTTTATTTTTATTTATTTTTTTATTTTGTATGTAAAGACAGATATGTCAACAACAGAGAACACAACAACAGTTATAGTCCATGAAGCTATAAATGAAGAATACGAGTACATACAGTTTAACAAACAACTCCGTCTCATTCGTTCAGTCAAAGATGACATGTACCAAATGCAAAGTATTTTGACAGCATGTTTTGCTCCAGATACTAAGAAACCACAAGACTGGTTTAGGAACCAAAGCACTATTGAACTATTAAATGAAGCTGAAAATTCGACTACGGATTTTCTCGTAGTCGCAAAAACTCGAGTAGGTAAAAAACCACAGTCGCCAAAACTCTATGAAAACAGTGAAGAACAGCGAGTAGGTAAAAAACCACAGTCGCCAAAACTCTATGAAAATCGTGAAGAACAGCGAGTAGGTAAAAAACCGCAGTCGCCAAAACTCTATGAAAACAGTGAAGAACAGCGAGTAGGTAAAAAACCGCAGTCGCCAAAACTCTATGAAAATCGTGAAGAACAGCGAGTAGGTAAAAAACCGCAGTCGCCAAAACTCTATGAAAATCGTGAAAAATTGCCAAACGGTTTGAGAGGATATTATGTACATAGACTTCTTGTAAATGCTGTTGCAATGTGGGCTTCGCCTCGTTATGCTTGGTATATTTACAGACTTCTTGACGAAATTCATAGACAAGAACGTGAAGAGATGGAAAACAAGCTTGAAGCAAAAGACAAAAGCATTCAGAAAAGAATACCACGTTCGGTACCAAAAGGAAAGGAAAAGAACTATAAGTATATGATTTATACTGAAGAGATGGAAAATGAAGAAGACAGAGATATGGTTATGTTGCATTTAGTCAGAAGAAACAACAAAAGCTTTTATGACCTTGCTAAGATTTACAAATATGACAGAAATTGGTTCTATCGCGAAAACTTACCGATTTCAATGACACCGAATGAAGATGTGAAACAAATAGTTCAAGATACGTTACCTCAAACACACTATGATATGAAAGGTTGTACAATACTTACCTTCAAAGAAGACTTACCGCTACTGAAAGAAAAAATAACAGAGTATTTTGACAACTTCAAACAAGCAGAGTAAATGAACTCTTTATTTTTCAAGCTTGACTTTTTACAATTTGAACTTTGTTTGCGTAGATATGAATTCTGAAAAGAAGTATGAGGGTCTTGTATGACTTTGTACTTCTCCCATAGTTCATGTCTGTCAAACTTACCTGCCATGGACTCTTTCATAAGTTCCATGAAATCGTCTTCGGACAATCCGGGGAAAAGTATTATGTCAGTAAGTATTCTTTTAACATCCTTACTTAAACTCTTTGCTGTCTGTACACAAATGACAACTGAGATGTTAAAGTGTCTGAGCTTCTTAAGAATTCGACACATGTCTTGTTCTCTGTTCTTTAACAAAGGATGAGAGGCGAAATCATCTAAGATAAGAAGACACCTATGAGGGTACGTTTTCCAATCGTAAGATTGCAATTTCTTCGAAATGTATTCTATCTCTTTCTGTTTGTTTCTGAAGTGTTTCTTCTCTAATATTCTCTGCATTTCCTCATTAGGGTCTTTGAACTTAGAATTTATATACTCATTTATAGCATATACTTCAAAACTCTTCTTTGGTACTTCTTTATCCAATCTAACAACTCAGTATCCTTTATACATACTAACTTAGACTTCTTTATAATATCTTTGAACGAATTGACGGTTTGGTCAAATTGACCAGAAGTACTACAAATAACAACTAACTCATAGAATGGTTCTTCTCATCTAGTTCTTGTTGTTGTGCAGCCATTTTAAGATAAGTGAAAGTCTTACCAGACCCAGGTGGTGCAATTAGACCTGTTATACCATTCTGAGCAAATAAGAACTTTTCATGTATAGGCTTTATCTGAGCATTTTCTAACTTCCTCTTGTTCTTGTTTAAAACATTCTCAAATTTCTTGTCAATGTCAGCAAACTTTTTTTCTAACATATTTTTAGAAAAATTAAAATTTTTATCTTTTAGAAAATGTCTAGCGATTTCGCTATCTATATTCGAGACAAACTTTTTGACAGCAAAACATCTGTCGACCATAAAATCTTACATAGTGTAAACAAGAAAGGTGAATTTGTTCTAAAGTTCTGTTTCTGGGAATATGACAAGAACCATAAAACATTAAGCAGAGCAGTCTTAAAATTTGTCAATGACAGGCTTGTTGACAGAGATGACGCCGATTGGAAAGATGAAGTCCAACAAAAGTTCTTAGAATGCAAAGAAGACACATGCGCTGTTCTTGAAGATGAAATAGAAAACAGAATAGATGAGCTATTAAAGGACAAAGAACTTTTACATAAATATGGTTGCGCCAAATTTGACATAACTCCACCAGAAAAGAAGAAGAAAGAAAAGAAAGTAGAAGAAGAGAAGAAAGAACCTGAACCAGTTCCAGAGAAAAAGAAATTTGATATGTAAAAATAAAATTTTATTTTTAGAACATTTCTGGGTCAATGTCAATGTTCTCTTCCTCTTTAGGAGTAAACACTGGCTTAGACTCTAAAATTTTTTACCCAACTTACCTTGAACTTCAACTATCTTAGACTCATAATATTCATAGTCGTCTGCTTTCTTTGGTTCATAAGGTATAACAAGTTTGTATGCTTTACCTTCTTCGAGTTTTGAGAACTTTCTGTCAAAATTTTCTTTGACTGTCAACATACCGTCAATGTATAAGTCTTCAAAAGTTGCACCACTTTTTCTAACAACAGCAAACTTAACTGGTGCAATGTTCCAAATTTTGTCAAATGTAGACTTTTCAAAATTGTAGAAGTAAACATTCAAATATGCGAATGGAGCTAACTTATCTTTGACTTCTGTCATGTACTTATTTACTGAGATGAATTTCGTCATCTTTTCTATCGGATAAAAAAATATTTTTTTTTAATTTACTCAGAAAAAATTTTCTTTGTATATACACCATTCTGAACATCTAAAAGACTTTTGACATTTGCCAAGAATGTACGTTTAGAAGCTGCCATATAACCATATTCTTGACAATATTGTTTATATTCATCATATAAAGACCTTTCATCTAATGACACAAAGTCAGTTTCATCTATGAACAGTTCATATACACTCTTGTTTGCTTCTAACAATGTTTGTCTCTCTTCGGTATGTGGAATTTGTCTTGGATTGAACTTAGAAATATCTAATGTCATGAAATATGAGAACAAGTGGTTGTAAAAGTCAGATGTCAAAGTTTCTGCTAAGTCGTCAAAATATTCTGTATCTTGCATATGAGAATCTGACGTTCTGACAACTACATATCTTCTGTCAGAACTTTCTAACTTCATCGGAACAGCATTGTTTGAAACCATAATGAAGTTTGCAACATTTTCACTAACTCTTTGGTCTTTATACTTTCTTTCAACAACTCCAACTTTGTCTGTTATAAGACTCTTCAAAGCATTTGAGTTCAAAACTTTTGTTGTATCTATACTTTGAAGTTCATTGCAAACTATAAGTTTCATATTCTCTATTGAGGAGTTAAACTTGCCACAGATGTTTTCTAAGTTTGTCATATTCGGATTCGAATAACCTTCTAACAGTTTGCACAAGATATCTGTAAAGAATGTGTTCTTACCAGTTCCTTGTTTTCCAATTATAATGAGAGCAGTTTCATTTTTAGCACTTGGATGTTGTAAGATGTTTGCAAACCAACATAAGATATACTCATAGCCTCTTTCGTTTCCATTGCATATAATTTCTTTGACATGGTCTAACCAAGCTTCTATAATACTGTGTTTCCATTCTACTTGTTCATATTTATATCCAGTGAAGATAGAATAGAAGTTTGGAGAAGGTGTATAAAACTTTATACCACGAACTGAAAAAATCTTCAAGTTTTGACAATAAGATATCCCAAGCATCTAACATCTTCATTCCAACTTGTACAACTTTTATTTTCTTAAGTTTCTGTCTACATTCTTGTTCAGACACTATTGTTGCTCTTGGTTTGTTAAAGACAACATCCCATTCTTTCATAACATAACATTCTGGGGCAGAGTCGACATAAATGACTAAACGTTTCAAATTCTCGACTGCTTTGTTATAGTCTCGAAATGGACACATATTTCTGAATGCTTGGAAGTCATAAAAATCTGAAACATCTATTCTGTACATTTTTATAAAAATAAAAAAAAATAATATTTTTTTTATTCTTGACTTTGTTGTTCCATTTGTTGCATTTGTTGTTCTTGAGCTATTTGTTGTTGAAGTTGTTCTTGTAATACAATACTTTCACCAGTTGCATCTTCCAATTCGAAACTTTCTGCCGTCATTGACAAATACATAGGACATAAAAGTTTTACAGGAACAAAGTTTGCGTCAACTAATGTCAACGTTATACTTGCCAAAGTGTTTGAGTTCACTAAGGTTGAAAATTCTGCATTCGAATGAACAATAGGCAAACCAGCAGAGAAAGTATTGTTTATACGCATAAGTATCTTTTGGTCATAATAGTTTCTGTCGACATTCGAATAACACTTTGAACCTAAGTTTGAAACAATATATAAGATTGGTGTGCTTAATGTCAATGGAATAGACATTCCTTGTATGACACCTTTTCCTGTTATAGGAAACTGTTGGTAGTAAAAACCAGATATAAGTTTTGTATTATAGCTCATATTGTTTATAGTAAACTCAGTCGGACATCCAAACATAATGAAACCTGCTCTAGTTGCAGCACATGTTACACCTGTACTTAAAGTATTAAATAAGTCAACAAAACCTGTTGGTGGTATATCTGAGTAAGTATCTTCAAAGGAGTATTTTTTACCATTCACAACAATAAAGTCTTCTGGTGTCAAAAGAGCAAAACAGGCTTTAGTCGTCATTGTGTTTAAGGTTAGTTTACAATATCGTCCTTGAGGACTTTGTAAGTTTGTTGTTATAGAATTATATGACTCAGGGTTTTTAGTCGTAATAGTATAAACCATTATGTCTTCTGCCATTTACTTAGCAAATAAATTTTAATGAAATGTTGTGGTCGTCAAATATTTTTATAACGTCTGGGAAACTATATTTTAAGTTCAACGTTTCACCTCCTTTCATAACGTATATCTTGTCAATGACATTATATGAAACACCACAGCAACTAATGTCGGGTTCTATTTCTTTGATGTTTATATCGTCTGCCTCTGTCAAAAGTTTCAATAGTTCTTTCAAAACTTCATGAGGTGCAATGACATATGAGTTCACTTTTACAGGGTTGTGTTCGACCAAGTTTAACATTATACTTAAAGCTTGACAAATCTTCTCCTGAGTTTGAAGTTTGTCTTTCAGTTGTTGGTAGTCGTTTCGAATATCTGCAACAGAACTTAAGTCTCTGTTAACTTCAGGATATGTTGGTTCTTTTACAGGAACAATTGTTATACCATCTTCGTCTTTGTATGGTTTCCCCACTTCAACATCTCTGTCTTTGACATTGACAATAACACTTTGACTGTTTGTTTGAGTTGGTGAATTTAACTTCACATCTGCCACCGCCATTAAACCTTTTGAAACACTTACGCTTCTATTTTTCGGAAATGACATTTTACTTAGAATAAAAAGATGGACGTATTCGGATATCTTATTGAATTGAAGCAGAACAAAGTTTATACTCACAAACAATACAAATACATTGACAGAATAGTTCTTTACACAAACAATGGAAAATGTTATAGAATAGCAATATTTGCTGAACCAAAATATTTTCATAAAGCAAAGAAAGTTGGTATAACTGAAATGGTGAAAGTTCTTGAAGCAGACAAAAATATAACTTCAAAACTTACAGTATTACTAAAGGAAAGTTTTATAATACAATATTATGTCAAAACTGGCGTACTGTCAATATTTGACGGAGAGAAGTCAGTTCAAGAACAACTTACTGACCTGCTGCCAAAATCTGCTCGATGGAAGCTGTCGTTATGCCAATCTGAGGAGCCCCAGCAGGTTTCATCGAACGAATCTTCAAAAGAGCATCTTCCGTGAAAAGTGCTATTGGTTTTGTAAACTTCTTTGCTTTCAATTCATCTGGACCGTCTCTGTCACCAGTATATTGTATTTGAACTGTACCAACAGTTGAAATACCACCCATAAAGTCTTCTGAGTCAGCAAATGGAATGCCAAGCCAAAAGTTTGAACGGTCTCCATTTGTATATTGAGTTTTTTGACCTCCTGTATGAGTCCATACTTTCACATATGGCATAATAGAACTTTGCATTTCAGGGTTAATGGTTGTTGTGAAGTTGTTGTTAAAGTTCATAGCATCTAATGTCAAGTTGTATGACCTCATATCCTCAACTGTAGAATATTCTTCTCTTGGATAATATTTGCCATCTATGTTTATATGATATTTAATACCAGGGTTGTAGAAACAAGAATAGTCATTTATAGTTCGTCTGAACAGTACAAACATAGTATCTGCATGTTTCATTGCAGTTGTTAAAGCAATATCTGTTCTTGCACCTGGGTCAGCACTTTGGTTTCCAACTTCACCTGCAAAGTCTTTGACAGATATTTGGTGTATAGGGAACATAAGTGGAACTGCAATATATTTGGCAGCTAAAGCATTTGAAATATCTGGGTCCAACATATAGACTGCAAGTCTGCTTTCTATTCTCTTGCATTCAAACTGTTCGCATGTGAACTTAACTGGGTCCCAAGCATCTCCAGCAGCATTGAAATAATAGTTTACTTCAGTGTTGAGGTTTGAGAAACCAAAGTCTAAGTCAACTTTGTCTTTGCAAAAGTCACAGAACTTGGCTCCACCAGTTCCAGCTACAGTAATGCTGAATGGGTCTTGTGTTGGTGCAATGACTAAGTTATTTTTGCTTGGAGTAAGTTCGATAGAAATTTTTCCTGCCCAGTTTGGCAAGTATCTTAAAAACCTGAAGATGAGGAAAGATGACAAAGGAACTCTAAGTTTCAGTTTTACTTTGGTTACTGCTGCTGCAGTTTGTCCAGAAAGGTTAACATAAACTCCTGGAACGTTAGGGTCAAGTCTTCTTATTTTCTCAATAGTTGCATACTGGTCTGTTTGTTCTCTAGCTTGTGGTTGTACTGAGTTTCTCAAAGCGAACCATTCATAGTTTGCCCATGTTACTGTTTGAACTAAGTCAGAGTTAGAATATATCTTATATCCCATGAAAACTTCTGGAGCATATTGGTATCCGACATAGAAAATTCCATTGCAACCTTTCTTGTCAGACAACTTGGCAGAAGGTTTTATTTCAATGTCTTGTTCCACGTATAAGAATGAGTTGTCAATAGAAAGAATATGAAACCTGTCGCAAGCAATATCTACTGTTGTTGAAGAACCTTCTCCAAACTCACCTACGTTTCCATAAGAAACAGCAGTTGTATATTCGTAAGTTCCAGGAACTATTTCTGACCTTCTAATGGCATTGTCGCATTCGTTATACCATTCGGAAACATTTCCGTTCATGGCATCCAAAACTGTTGGCGTTATATTCTGAGCGGCGTACATTTCATATGGGTAAAAATATAGAATAGTTGGATTTATATATCATAATAGAACCCACTCGGACCAAGCTTTACTTTCTTCCTGACTGAGTTTTTAACTCTTCTTTTTCCTTCATTGCCACTACTTTCACTAGATGAAGTTACTTCTTCACTACTTTCACTTTGTTCTACTCTTCTCTTCTTCTTTGGTGTCGCTTTTGGTAACTTGCCCTCTGCTTCAAGTTGTTGCATCTTTGCCTCATGTTCACCTAATATGTTGTAAATTTCCCATGTCCTTTTTGCCTTTGGGCTCTGGTCGCCCATCTCAGGTAACCTATATCCTAGAAAGATTTTGTCATAGTTTGTACTTGAGTCTTCGCTTATTGTTTGCATGACTCTTTCCTGAGTTTCCGGTTCAAGCTCTTCAAACAGAGCTTGTCCATATGGAATAAGCTCGTTTCCAAATATATGTTTTTGTAGCCATTCTGGTTTTCTTTCCATGTTACCAATAATATCTTTTGTGAATGGGAAAGCTTTTACCCAATGTTTCAGTCTTGCGTCATTTATTTCTGTAGTTGGTTTTATTTTGTCATGGAACATGTTTTTCAATACTAACATTTCATTTGGTACTGCCCATTTGAGTTTTCTTAAATATTCATCCCTTCTCAGTTCATTGTCTGCAAAGTCAGTTTTTATGACATTTTGCAAACTTTCGTTTGCAAGGTCATGTACAATAGGTTCTCTTCCTTCTCTCTCCCTAACTTTCTTTCTAAACTCTTCACCAAATATACCATCTCTATGGTTCTGTGTAGTTCTTTGAGATAAATGTTCTAGAACGTCAGGTGTTATATTTCCATCAGCCATGTTCATTTCATACTGGTCCAAAATATCTGCATCTTTCATATCTTTCAATGGCATTAAAGCCGCGCTTAAAATACCAGCTATATCTGGTTCACCATTCACTTCCATTGCGTCTACAACTTCTTGGAATTGAGGTTGTAAGTTTATGAACCACCTATCCGGATTAGCTTTATGACCCCATTTCATTGTAGTTCCATAGTCTGCAGAAACAAAAGTAGGTTTGTTTCCATCTTGGTTAGGTTCTGAATGAACTTTAAACAATGTTTCATTTCTATATGTTTTGTTGAAATTTAACCTTTTATTTTCACCGAGTTCAGCCAAAGATTGAACGTTATATGGTCGTAAGTAAAAAGGATTGTTGTATTTGCGTACATTTTCTTTCAGTACTTCCATTCTATGCTGAATATTTTCATCTGATGTTGGAGTCTTTTGTATGTCGGCGAACATTTTTCGATATTCTTCTACTATGTCAGCCGAATTTTTCTTAGACTCTTGGAAAGATTCCATATTCTCCGCATACACTTGTTGAGGGTCAAGATTTTTCGGCTGTTCCAAATCTTCATCTAGTTCTGTGAAGTTAGTTTCCAAAGGAGGGACTTGTTCGTTTCCTTCAGGCTCTTCTAGCTGTTGTTGCTGAACTATTTCTTCCATGTCTGGTTGTATCTGAACTTCTTCCTGTGGAGTTTCTTGTACCTCATCTGCTGGCATTTCATATATTCCGAGACCGTTTTTAACAAGTTCCCTATCTAAGTCATCCGGACTCATAAACCTTTCTTCTTTCGTTCCGTCTCTATTTTTACGCGTTTCATGAAGAGAGTTGAATTATCATTTAGCTCTGACACCAAATATCTCGGAGTAAATTCATTCATGTCATTTGGATGATATGCTATTAAATCATATCCCTTAGCGAGCTTGTATTTTCCAGGTTTGAGATTATATCCCATTTGGTGCTGAACCATAAAGCTAAATAGGTTCGGGTCAGTATTTCCTTCCTTGAACTTTCTAATAGCTTCTTTATATCTGTCACTAAAGTCAAGAGTATCTGGGTAACCATAATCTTCCTTAAGCATTTTTAAGAATTCTTGGTTTCCTTTTTCTCTACTTCTTTTATGTCCTTGCTCTGTTTGTGGTTGTTGTTGTGCAGGGTTTTGAACTGTTGGTTGCTGTGCTGGATTTTGAACTGTTGGTTGCTGTGCAGGTTTTGAACTGTTGGTTTTGGTTGTTGTTGTGGTGCTGGATTTTGAACTGTTGTTGTTGTGTTGGTTTTGGTGCATGCCTGTGTCTGTGTCCATGTGACGATGTAAATGTTTTAGGTAGTCCTGGTGCAGGTGCTTCTCTTGGAGGGTTTGGTGGTATATAAGTTCCACCAGCTGGCACATATGTTCCATCTGCAGCATAATGTCCTACCTGACTTTTCGTTTTTAAGAAAGCATTTACTAGGTCTGTTTTGGTCTGTTGTAACTCTTTTTCTTGACTTTCCACAACAGTTGCTCTAACGGCGTCATAGGCACTTTGAACTGCCTGTCTCGTTGCTGCATCTGTTATTTTCGTCATATTTTGTGCTACTTCTCTTAACTCTTTGTCGAAACCTTCAGACTTCAGTTTCTTTCCAGATGAGAAGTCGTTCACTAGTTTCACCTTACTATGAAGAGCTTCGAAGGCATTTTAAAGTCAGCATTCATTAAAGCTTCATTTGAACTGTCTTCATCCGCTTGTATTTTGTCCTTATTGACCCTATAAGTTGGGCTGCTTTAGCGTTGGCTTGGGCATCTAACCAGTCATTATTAGCTTTTATATATTCTGCGCTTTTCATTGCCTTTTGCATGGCTGCGTCGTTATTTTTACTTTCTTGTGCTAAGTTTTCATACTGTACGGTTTGGTTTTGCAACTGTAAAAGTTTTTCTGTCTTTACATTTGCTTCAACTTCTTTTTTATACTCATCGCTATCCATATATGTCTTCAGGACTTTTTGTTTTATCTCTTCATCTTTCAGTACTTTATATTGAGTAGTATGGTTTTTCAAATTTATAACATCTTGTTCCATTTTTGCTACTTCTGCTGCTTTTTCTGACACTTTTTTCGCATATTCCTCTGTACTTAGTTCTTTCAGTTGTTCTTCTTTCTTCTTTTTCTCTACGTTTAACTCATTGAGTTTCTTTGTGTGTCTGTCATATTCTAGTTTCTTTTCGTTTTCACTTATTTGTTTCTGTATGTCTATGTTTGACTTTTTGACATCTGATATTTGATTTTTGAGTGAACTCAAATTCATTTGACTTTGAGGGTTATAAGCTGTTCCGTCTGCAGCTCCACCATAGCCTGCCATTTTTGCTAAAAGTGCCGCTCTTAAACCTCCACTCTGTGCACCAAAAACTCGGTTTAAAAGCATAGGATTGCTTGACATTTGTTGCAACATAGTGGGGTCATTCAGCATTTGTTGTTGCAACTGTTGTTGTGGTGTCAGTTTTACTATTGGATGTTTCAATGCTCTCTTCCTCTTACGTATATTCTTACGTAGCTTACGTGGCATTTTAAGTGAAGTTAAAAAGCGGTTTTATACTAAACATCTTCGGGGCTAGAGGGCGCAACGCGCCTGGAAGCCCCACTACCTTTTTTTTTTTTTTTTTGTATGGGTTGGCGTCAAAGACTGATAGCAGCAGGCGGTTATGTAAAGTAAAGAAAAAAAATATTTTTTATTTTTATAAAAATGCCCCCATATAGAATGGATAGAAAGTCTGCTAGAATAAAAGCAGAGTTACAAAGATATGGTTGGAGAGTTTCGAAGAATTTTAAATATAGGAAGGGAAGACCCATAAAAGTCTATGACAAATTGTCTGGTCTTCGCTACGAAATGGATTTGGAAACAGCACGTGCCAATTATCCAAACAGACTAGAGAGGTTAGAAGAAGAACGTCTTATGGACATGCCTTTCGATGTTAGTGAACCTCAAGTTGAAGGACACGACGGCTTTGCCAGATTCTACTGGAAACATGACGAACAATTGCATCCTTTGAGAAGGAAAAAAGGAAAAGGTGAAGACGCACATGCTCCCATGGAAAGAACAAGATATGCATATGAAAAGTATCGTGAAGTTAGAAGTCAATTTACATCTGGTCGAACCTTTACAGTAAACTTTGACGAAGGAAAGAACAAAGAAGGCTTCATGGGAGTACTTGCTGCAATTCAAGACGGAAATAAGAAAGGACACAATCTCAGATTGACCATAACAGATTTGGATGGTCACATTTACTATGCACATGGCAATGAACAAACAGCCGCAAAACTTCTTGACGCTTTCAAGACTACAAAGAGAGAACAAATGGTTGACTCCGACTCAGACATTTTGAATGCAATTGAAGGAATTGCAAGTGTCAAGTTCGAATGGTACCAACCTAACCCTCAAGCAGTCAGACAACATGCTGGATACTTCCCGTTCATAAATAAGTCTGACATTGACTTGACAAGGTATGGAATTTACAATTCAATTGAAACAATTGTCAATGAACCTTGTATTCTTACATGTCTCAGGAACTCTGGTCTTGTTACAGATGAGAAGATGAAGTATCTTGAGTCATGTGTGAAGACAAGGTACATTCTCAGAGGTCAATTGGCAAAAATTGCACCGTTGGCAAATGTCAATATCCGAGTCAACATACCTACAGCTAAAGGTTCTTCACATGACGACTATGTTGTTGACAAAGACTTACCATGGTTGAAGATTGTAATTGTCCACAACCACTTCATGTTGAACGAAAGTCTTACAAACCCATTCTTTGGTAAAAGTAAGTGCAACATTGTCAGAGCTGTAAACATTCTTTTCGAGAAAGGTTTGTTGGAACCAATTCCAGATGACAAGCTGACAGAAACTTTTGTACCAAAAGACGAAACAAACTTTTCATTGTTAGCAAGACCAAAAGTTGTTCCAGACAAAGTTCTAGTACAAAAGAAGTACACAGTTCCACAAGGAGTTGGTATGTTCGGATACCAACCTGAACCAGAAGAACTTCCAATGAGGTTGCAAGAACTTCAAGATGCTATAAACAAACTTCCATTGAGACATCCAATTGACGTCAAATTGTATTGGAGAGCATCTGAGTTAGGTCAGAAGGTTTTATATGAAACAGGTTGCTTCGACGATGTTTATGAGATAACAGGAGAAGTTTCTCAGAAGATAAGAGACTCACTTGAATTTCCACAAACTGGACCAATTGGTTGCGACAAGTTCGACTCAGATGAAAAGATATACTATGTCGACCTTAACGCTGCATACATGAGGTTTGTCCAATATATTCCGACTGGAATTCCAAACGAAGATGGTGAGTTCCCGGGAAGGAACTATACAGTTGGAAAAGTCATACAACAACTGTATGATATTAGGAAAGCTTCAAACCCCAAACTTGCAATGACACTCAAATTGCTTATGAATTCGACATGGGGATATTCCATTAAGAAACCTCAAGAGATGAAGAGTAAACATTATGAGAAGGTCGACAACTTTGTTGAAAGGTTTTCTCCTTTTGTTTTGAAGTACGAATTCACTCAAGGTCAAAGTGGCTTAGTAACCACATTAAAACCTATTGTCGAACATTGGTCTTACCCTCAGTTCGCAAAGGCAGTCCTTGACAACTACAACAAATTCTTCTCCGAAGTCAAATCCAAAGTCAAGGTTTACTATGAGAACATTGACGCACTCATGACGAACGAAGAAGGATACAACAAACTCATTGAAATGGGAATGGTCGGTGAAAAGATGGGCTGTTTTAAGCTAGATAAGGTATTTTCCGAAGTTCATGTAATATCGAAAAGGAAATATTGGGGCATACTTGAAGACGGCACAGAAATAAAACATTGCATGAAATAAAAAATTTATTTTAAAAAAAGTGACATTTTTTTATTTTATTTGAAATGTACGCTGAGTTTGTTGGAGAAGACCGTTGGGAAACTTGTTTGTTAGATGAGAAATATGAAATGGCATACCATTTTAAAACAATATATTTTTACATATATTAAATGCTTCAGGTTGAAAAACAAAGAACAAAAGTAGCAGATACAAAACCGTTAGACTATATCTTTACAAATGCTGGTAGGACTATTTCAGATGAAGAAATTTCATCCCGAGAATACAGGTTTGACTATCCAATTCGTTGGCTTCAAAGTCCTTCAGATGCAAAGGCAATAGGATTTAGAAGAGTTTTGTTTTCAAATAGAACTAACGCATTTATGTTCGCAGTATATTTTCATGGGCAGTATGAAGGTTCTGATGGTCTAATAGACAAATTTGACGAAATGAGAATCTTTACAGTTCGTTCAGACGAAAGTCTGAGAAAACTCTAGATGACTTTCAAACTCAAATGAACAAATATTATTGGGAATTTCAAGAAAAATACAACTCTTTACTAAATGGAACATACTATCTGAAACTAGAATATGACAAGATGAACTCCACCGTTTCATTTCAAAAGATTGAAATTAACCCTCCAAGAGATACAGAGTTTTTATTTTGGGAAGTAGACAAACGTTCTTGGGCACAATTTCTTCGGTTACTAAACCAGAACGAACCATTACACAGATGGTCCATTTAAATTTATACTTCCACCAGCAGATTTGATGGTTTATAGAAACGTGTTTGACCCTCAAAATGTTATGTGTCATGCAAGTTTCAGTTCAAGCAACAACAGTTTTCTATGTATCGTAAGGACTTTTATGACTTTGCTTCTAAATTCTACGAACATCTAGTAACAGTTTCTCTGACTTTCAAGTTTGGTTCACAACAAATGGTGTGCAACATATTATTCATTGTACTATGACTTTTATCTCGAATTGTCTTCATATAATAACTACGGAAAAGTGCTGAAAAAGTATTGAATGTGAAGATATTAGAAAATAACATTTTTTCTAACATCGTAGAAAACTCATGAAAAAATTTATTTTTGACACTTTCACAAAAAACATAAAAAGTGAGTTAAAATGAGATGTTTACTGAACTGGTTGGATGTCGCCTTCTGAGGTTATTAGAACGGCTGACCCGAGAAGTGGAACAGTGCTCTGAGAATTTGTATAATTCGTGGAATTGGACTCTCTCTGTTTGGAAGTTTGTATCATGGGCGCTTTGCAAAGAACTTGAGAAGAGCTTCTTTCTTCATCTCCTTTATGTCGTCTACAGGAGTGTTTTCTGGTATTTGAATTGAATTCCGGTTTCAATTTCGATTTTCAGCGCACCTCTTCCAGACAACCAGAAGCCGAGGGACTTGTTGGCTTTGTCCTTGCCCAAGTACTGCTTAACAACTTCATTTATCTCTATAAGGTAAATTGCCTCATCTAATGGCTCGATATTGTCCATTGTTCTGTTTCAGAACTAGTCTTGTACTTTTTCAGAAACTACTTGTACTGTTTTCAGAACTAGTCTTGTACTTTTTAGAACAATACTTGTACTGTTTCAGAACAAGACTTGAACTTTTTCAGAACAAGACTTGAACTTTTTCAGAACAAATTCCCCGTAAAAGCTCTCAATTTGTGAGAAAAATTTTCTGTTTCAGAACAATACTTGTACTTTTTCAGAACAATACTTGCACTTTTTCAGAACAATACTTGTACTGTTTCAGAACAATACTTGTACTTTTTCAGAACAAGACTTGCACTGCTTCAGAACAATATTTGTACTGTTTCAGAACAATGTCCGACGTCCCACCAACCGAGTCCATTCCCAAACCAGAGGAACCTAAAGAACCACAACAGTCTCCTCAGCAACCTCAGTTCCAGCAAGTACCTCCGAATTACTACCAATTTCCACCTCAAGGTTACTACCCACCACAAGGCTTCCCGAACTACCCTCCTCAGCCTATGCCTTACTGCCCCAACCCTTGGTTGTTCCAGCAAGCTCCACCCCAGCAATTCCAATCTCAGTCCAAGAGAGACCAAGACTTCGAAGAAGGTCTGAACCGCTTACGCAAAGAGTATGCTACAGCTCCAATTGAGAGAAAGTTGTTCCCGCACCAAAAATAATGTTTAGGTGAAGAGGTGAGATTTCACCTCTTTTTTCACCTGTTTTTTCACCCTCTTGAATTTTCATGAATTTTATATATTAATGTTTTCGTTAAGCCACTTTGTGCCGTCAGTCAGTCAGTCAGTCAGTCAGTTTAGGAAAGACTTTAGAAAGTTGTTGGAAAATAAGTCCTGGGAAGAGTATTATAAGGCATTTTGTGAAGAATATAGCAACAGTCTGAATTCAGACGGTTGCTTTTTATACAAAATTCATGCAGGAAATTCTTGAGTTTTGGTTGAAAGAATACGGTGGAGCCAAAAGTGGCTCGACCTCAAAACAAGCATTTTATGAGCTTACAAAGGGTGTTATGAATGAATTCAAATGTATTTACATACATCCTGACCTCGTTCATTTTGTTGCTGAATTCAGCAAAAATATAATTTAGGTGAAGAGGTGAGATTTCACCTCTTTTTTCACCTGTTTTTTCACCCTCATGAATTTTCATGAATTTCCTTAAGATAGAAAAAATAAAGTTAGTTTTATTTTTATTTATTTTTTTATTTTGTATAAAAGAACAGAAATGTCAACAGTCGGCACAACAACAATTCAAACAACAGCACCAAACTCGTTAGTCATGAATCCAACATCTATGTTAGTAGAAATGAAAAGCTTCATTCCTTCTTCATATACTTTCGAAACAGAAATCCAGAAGATAAAGCAGGAACTTTTAACAAGTAATTTAGACTGTAGTGCGAAAGATGAAACAAATGAACAGTATCTTTATGAAATGGAGGACCTCATCGACCATTTGCTTAAACTACCTGAAATCCAACAACAAAAGCTCACTATTCCTGAATTCGATGAAATTGAAGTCAAAGCAACTGACTCAGTAGAAATAAAGAAGTTCATACGAAAGGTAAATTATGAATTCCTTGGTTTTCATTGCAACCATAAAGTTATGGACAAAGATTGCGACATGGTATATAAGAACATCTCTGACATATATAAATCTGGGGAGTTTAAGACATACGACAACTTTGTTTCATTAGCTGCAAAATGTGTATGGCAGATAAGAGATAAAGATAGAAGAGGTAAGGTATGGCATGAACAGATAAAACCAGCTGCTTCAGATTTAAAGAAAACCATTGACGCCTTGGTTGTTTTAGCAGGTAAGGTTTCAGAATATAACGCAAAAATGAACCCGCAATGTTCTAAATGTAAAGCAGCAATGAGGAAATATAACTACTCCGTCAAAGAGATAGAAAGAATGAGAAACGACTATGCAGATTTAAAGAAAGAAGCAGAGAAGCCGGTAGAAAATAAAATGGACATGTTAGAATTTCTGAACAAAAACTATCCAACTGCTGACGATTTCCTTCTATCTGACGTCAAGAAGAAGTATAAAGAAACCTTCGGCATTGTTAAAACATTCGATGTACTAAAAGAAGAAATAGAAGCTACAAAACTGTTTAGGATTTCAAATATACATCGTACAATTCATGTAAAACGCTTATAAAATAACTGGGGTGAAAAATTAGGTGAGAAAACGGGTGAGATCTCACCTCTTCACCTAAAATATATTTTTATTGAATTCAGCAACAAAATTCTGAGTAAAATGGCATATGGCTTGTGTCAAACCGTTGAGTTTTCACAAAATTTAAAAAATAACGTTTACCATGTAAAACGTTTGTGAAAAAAGAGGTGAAAAATTAGGTGAAAAAACAGGTGAAATCTCACCTCTTCACCTAAAATATATTTTTATTGAAAAATGACCAAAAATCATGAATTTCCTCATATGCTTGCTTCCCTCGGAAAACCGAGAGAAGAGATTCCGTATGAAAATCGCAAGAATTTGGCTCCTGGTTTGAAAGGATATTATGTACATAGACTTCTTGTAAATGCTGTTGCAATGTGGGCTTCACCTAAAATATATTTTTGCTGAAAAATGACCAAAATTCATGAATTTCCTCATATGCTTGCTTCCCTCGGAAAACCGAGAGAAGAGATTCCGTATGAAAATCGCAAGAATTTGGCTCCTGGTTTGAAAGGATATTATGTACATAGACTTCTTGTAAATGCTGTTGCAATGTGGGCTTCACCTAAAATATATTTTTGCTGAAAAATGACCAAAATTCATGAATTTCCTCATATGCTTGCTTCCCTCGGAAAACAGTGAAGAACAGCGAGTAGTTAAAAAAACCCAGTCGCCAAAACTCTATGAAAATCGCAAGAATTTGGCTCCTGGTTTGAAAGGATATTATGTACATAGACTTCTTGTAAATGCTGTTGCAATGTGGGCTTCACCTAAAATATATTTTTATTGAATTCAGCACAAAAATCATGAATTTCCTTAAGATAGAAAAAATAAAGTTAGTTTTATTTTTATTTATTTTTTTATTTTGTATGTAAAGACAGATATGTCAACAACAGAGAACACAACAACAGTTATAGTCCATGAAGCTATAAATGAAGAATACGAGTACATACAGTTTAACAAACAACTCCGTCTCATTCGTTCAGTCAAAGATGACATGTACCAAATGCAAAGTATTTTGACAGCATGTTTTGCTCCAGATACTAAGAAACCACAAGACTGGTTTAGGAACCAAAGCACTATTGAACTATTAAATGAAGCTGAAAATTCGACTACGGATTTTCTCGTAGTCGCAAAAACTCGAGTAGGTAAAAAACCACAGTCGCCAAACTCTATGAAAACAGTGAAGAACAGCGAGTAGGTAAAAAACCACAGTCGCCAAAACTCTATGAAAATCGTGAAGAACAGCGAGTAGGTAAAAAACCGCAGTCGCCAAAACTCTATGAAAACAGTGAAGAACAGCGAGTAGGTAAAAAACCGCAGTCGCCAAAACTCTATGAAAATC